AAAACCCCTTTTTTTTTTTTTTTTTTTTTTTATAGCCATGCGATTCCAAATTATGGTTCTTTTCGATTCTTGTAAATTTCTTTCTCGCGTTCTTCGTTCTCTTCGCAAACCTTTTGTTCGGGTTATGAAAAAGTTTCGTGAAAAATTTTCGAAATTTTAATTTTCCACAGACTACCTACTAGCCCAGGGTGATATTGCCTGACGCTGCCCGGATATGGACGTGTACCGGTGTACATGCATTACTAATAGCGTTTTTAAAGTTTTATAAGATTCTCACGAGTTGCTCGACCCATAAACAAGGCTCGAGGATGGATGTGCGGCGCTGGAAAATATAGAGACAAATTTAAGGTCACCGGGAGATAGATAAATAGCAATTTCTTGAATTATCAATAGGATATCCTTCGGTAAAGTTCGAGGTTAACCATTTAACCTTATTCGATATGAATTTTCCATTGCAATTTTTTTCCTAACGGAACCGTATACTCTAGATAAAAAAATAACAGTACTCTGTTAATCACGTTAATGGAGTACTCGGTTTTTTGTCAAAAAAAAAAAAACAATAGATTGTACATCCTCCCGTGGGATACCGGATTTGTAAAACTGTACATCCTGTTTCTTTTACCTCGTCTGAAGACATTTCTGTTGGAAATTTTCAAAATTCGCAATAAAATGTTACATATATTGTGACGTGATTTTTCGAATCACGGTCCCAAGGCGGCTCCGGTTACCGATACAGATAACGTTCTCGATTTCTGGTTCCCTTCGGGTCGCCACCCTGCCCAGAAGCTACGCTCTCGGGTTGATTCGTACAGTTACGTCAAGGCTCTCGTAAGATTTCGTTATTGTTTAGTTGAGGTCGAGGTGCTCGAATCTGCCGTGGGGAGATGGTCTCGACGTGCCGAGTTGCCCGGCAGAGGAGACGACCCGACGGAGACGTCTCCACGGACCGGCGGAAGCCCGGGTGAGATACCGGTGCCCCGCTGGAGATGGGCAAAGGGCTGTAGAGCGGGCGGAGGAAGTTGCGATATGGTTAAGGGCAGGGGAGGAACCTCCTGCCCGAGTTAAGGATGTAGGGCCCAGCTGTCGCCCGATGCCCTGGGGAAGCGGCCGTGGAGGATCTCCAGAAATCACGTACCGATTCGTTAAGGAACGCTCTCAATTTGGTTTAAAGGGACGACTCGAAGGAGATAGAAGAGTTATCGGCTATAAGGCTCTCGACCAATCAGAATGATTAGTTCTCGGATTTGGCTATTGTCAATCGACTGCTTAAAGCAGTCTGTCTCGGGTCACCGACCGAGGTGTCACGAGGGACATCGCGCTCCCGTGCTATCTGTTGATAGTTTTTCTTGCCGTGTTTCGCTACGGTATAGCAAGTTCTCG